CTGGCTGGGGAATTCTGGGAGTTGAAGTCCACCCGTCTTCAAGTTGCCCAGGTTGAGAAACACTGCTCTAGCTAGAAGCCAGCAATATAAAAATGGGGCTTGGGGGGTGCAGGAAGCCCATCAGTGTCCTTTCTCGACCCCCACAGCACCCCCAGAGTGGGAAGGTCCAAAAACTGTGACTTTTCTTGTATCTGATGAGGGTTAAGGGGCAAAACAGGTGCATAAGCAGAGGCTTGGGGCATCCATTTCACCCCGCAAAACCCTGAATGCCCCCCTAAATTTTTTAGACTGCAATCCTCATATCTTTGGCCCTCGAGCGAATGGAAGTGGTGCCTTTCTGCCACCCACCACCGTTTACACCGATTTGGCACTGAAACTGGCTTTCTCCCCCACCGAACGAGACCTCACTTTTTCTACCCAATTGCTAAGATGCTTTTGAATTTTTCTCTGCAGTGTTTTTCAGCTCGTTTTCTGCCCTGGAGCTTCCCCCTCAGCCGCTGGTATTTCCAATTAAAAGAAGCCTAAGCAAAGATGCCACGTTACGACTGAAGCAATGGGGGAACCTCCTTCTTTGCCAGCACGTTGAGGGTGCAATTGCTCAAGAGTGACCCCCGGTCCTGCCAACGCTCAGGGGGGTTAAGGGCCATAACCTTGCAACTGTGAAAGGCTGAGGGGTCTCCCCCCGCAGTCCTTCCCCATCAAATGCTGCTGTTTTCCTGGCCGAGGGCTGGACGGTCCCCGAGGGTCACCTTGTCTCCTTGCTCCTGCGAAATGTCCAGGTGTCTCTGGCAACAAACCAGGGCTTCGTCAAACCGACCCAGGATTTTCAGCGTGTTGCCAAGATTGCCGCTGGCTTTGCCCTCTCCAATCCGATCCCCGATGGTTCTGTGGGCAGGGTGAAAAGATGCTGGGAGTTTCTCTTGGAAGAAAGCCACGGGGAAGTGAGGAATGGCTGGGGGGGTGGGCGGTGGACAGCATTTCCAGACTGGGCGTTGCGTTTCCTCCTTCGGCCTGCCCGGGGGCTGCGGGAGCCGCCACGGTGTGGTTGCGGTACCCTCCAAGGGAGCAGAACTGAACATGCTGGCTTTCTCTCAGCAGCTCCACATTTTTTTTGAAGGGGGTTTAAGGGGTGAAATGAAGGCATTGTTTTGCCACCGAAAGCACCTTCTGCAAAGCAGCCCAAAAGCTGCAATTCCACCCATTCTGGATGGGTCCTGAGGCTTGCCCATTCAGGGCTAGGGGAGTCTGCAAACCGCCCAGCCGTAAGCTGTGTTCCCAAGGGAGTGCCAGGGGTTGGGGGTTCCAGCCGCCAGCCTGCCACCCCCAAAGCAAAGGTGAGCCCCTTTTTGCAAGCCCCAGAAGTCCCTCCTCCCAAGATGGTGCTCCTCTTCTAGGATAATGGGTTGAAAGGGGCAGGAAGCCCTACGCCACTGGGCAAGATCAAAGAAGACGTCCATAAGACGTCTTTAATACTAGGAGTAAATGCAGAATCTTGGAAACTGGAAGAAGCATTTCCCATCTTCACTTATACTGAGTTCATTCAGGTGGAGTCTCCTTGATTAGAAATGCTTCTTCCCAGCTTTCTGGCCACTGGGCTGAGTTGCCATTTAGGAGATAAGTTGCAAACGGACTCATCTTCTGTCTCTTGATCGTTTATGTCTATCCTCACTCCCACTTCTTTCAGACAACATGCCTTTCTTTTCCCATCCAACCCCACCCCAAAGCTAAAGTAAGAGGGTTGAATATTCTAGTTTCTCCCCCTTAGGTGGAAAGTTTGCAACCCTGCAGGGCTTGAGCGTTGCAGCCCCAGACCCAGTTCTTCTTTCATTTCTCAGCAGGGACCAATTCTGGCTCCGTCACACTTACCTGGCCAAGGTGAGATCGTGCTTATGGTACTCCAAAGCTTTGGCATAGTCCTTCAGATAGAAGTAGGCGTTGCCCAGTTGGCTGTAAATGGCACTGAGGGTCTTCAGGTCCTCCGTTCCCACCTTCACGGCATCTTCGAAGAAGGCAGCTCCAGCCGGGAAATCCCCCGCTTTGCACGCCCGCTCTCCTTCGAGAGCCAATTCGAAGCACGAAACCTCCATCCTCCTGTCAGAAACCAACAAACCATCTTGGTCAAAACACCATTTTCTCGAAATTCTCAGCGTGCAGCAGAGAAGCAATCCATGATGCTCTTAAGGGGGTCAGAGCAACAGGGCGGAGGGGAGGGGGTTGCATTTGAAAAAAAAAAGCTGATCAGGTTCAGGCAGGAAAAGCAGAAGCGTGGTTGAAATTTGCTCCTGCTTTGCTTGGACAAAAATCTGCTGTCGGCTTGCTCTGGGAAATCAGCCCAAGCGGGTTTCGAGAGACAGCTTATGCCTGTGGGTTTAGCCATCTCTCAACGTCACCCACCAATCACCGCCGTTTTAATATTAATAATATTCAGGGGAGTCCCACAAACTCATTTATCTTTTTAGGAGAACCCAGGATTGCACACATTCAGAGAATCATAGACTGGAAGCTGTGGAAGGGACCTTCAAGGTCATATAGTCCAACCCCCTTGCCCTGTGCAGGAATCTACTGCAGCGAATTGCAAAACGGAAGCCGTAGAAGGGACCTTCAAGGTCATCTATTCCAGCCCCCTGCACAGCGCAGGAATCCATATGCTTCTTATCATAAAAGAGAAACATCGGAGAGGATCTGTTGTTATTTTAATCCTCATACACCATCCAGAGTCACCGTAGTGAGATGGGCGGCCATACAAATCTTTTAAATAAATAAATCATCAAGATCACCTAGTCCAACCCGTTGCTCAGGAATCCACAACTACTTTGAGAATCTCTGCCTTCGTGTATCCTTCTGCACCGTATTTCCCATTTTAGGAAATGCCTCATCTCCGAAACATTAATTAACCGCCTCAACGCATGTCAAATAGTGCAGATGCAAAACTTCTCACATGTAACAGTGGAAATAATACACTGCTTTTTAATTCAGACCCTGCCTACGAAATACATATATTTATAAACACAGCGCTTCAAGCGTGGAAAATTATCCCATTAGAAGCTCTTCTGTTTCTTCCTTTTGTGTTAATAAATCTCAGCCCAGAGTGCCGGCAGAAGCCTTCCGTGGCTTTCAGTAAACATTGCAAAACACGAGGAAGATAAAATCTAAATAAAGTAAGGGAAACATATGCTATTAAGCGACAACGCTTTAAAATATTTACAAATATTCCAGTTTTTAAAAATCTGAGTAAAATATTGATTTGGCCTGAGACAACGTTTTACTGTAATAAGGCTGGGTTTGCATAATGGCTAAAGTGTGGTTTGGGAAGCAGTCCATGGCTTTAAGCCATAACGAAGTTTATTTAATTGAGCTCCACGTGGTCCCTGAACACGTTCTGTTAGGCTGGGCTGGAATTTTGAATAAGCCCAGACATCACCGATCTCATTGACTTTCTCCTAATCAAATAGATCAATTCCACTATTTTAGCTGCTGGGGGGAAAAATGGCCCTGACATTGACCAAATCCACGTCGCCATCAATTTATTTAGCATGTAAAGCTTCCTAATGCAAATCAAATACACGCATTCAACCAGATTTTCATCAATAAATACCAGTGGATTTTTTTCTGATTGAAAAACTTACTATAAACCTCTCACATAAAACCACCAAGTTAAAAGGGGTCCCCAGAGAACATCTAGTCCAACCCACGCCTAGTACAGTATCATAACTGGGCTTGGTTTCCATCATCAGCTATCCACAAGATCTCTCTGAAGTTTGCAGAAGAGAAATTTGGGGAGCAAATCCACAGCAGATCCCAGAAGGCAAACGCCTCACAACAGCTTTTTCCCAATCGGATACTTTTCAGAAATGTCAGACTACAAACCCCATCCTCCCCAGTCACAATGGCCATCGGAATGTTGTAAGAAAGGGCTGCATTTCAGAAAGCGGGGCAGTAAAACGCACCCCAACTATGGGTGCAGTTCAAAGGAAAAGCGATGTAATTTTCCCTGGCCAGCAATTCTGGGAGTTGAAGTCCATACATGCTGGCCAGGGAGTTCTGGGTGTTGAAGTCCACACATCTTAAAGTTGCCAAGTCTGAAAAACACTGAGGTAGACCAATAACTCCCAAGATGTCACCTCCATTTTGGAAAACAGCAAACAAACCTGCAGAGTTCATAGTCCTTGGCTGGCTTTGCATAATGCACAAACCATGATTTGTTAAGGCCATGATAAGCCAAACATGCCACCATTAATTGGGCTTACACAGAACACTAAGACATTAATCCTGGTTTGGAAGCCATCACGGTTGGTTTTAGGACACACTAACATATTTCCTGACACTTCAGACTTGGGCAGGGCTGCAGATCAACTCATTGCAAAACTTTTCCAGATTCTGAGTGATGTTCTCCTGCCCAAAACCTCACTGGATCAGGAATAACTTGTAGGAAACTGTTCCAGGACCACCTCCCTCACTATTTATATCTGTTGTTGTAACCACTGAGCCTACAATTCTCTAACTCCTTCTTGGGAACATAAGAACCTTCTCTAAACCTCTGTCTGTATATAATATTTTGTCACATCATCATGAGATAATAGGGCTTCCTTCACTTGGTCCACCACGTCTCTGGCTGAGAAATGTGAAGAACCCTTAAAAGCTCTCCTTGGGGGACCAAGTGCTAATTTGGCAGGCCATGCACAGGAAGTTGCCACCTTTTCAACACAACAAAAAAGAATTTTATATCCTCCCTTCTATCAACTTTGGAACTGCAGTATCCCTTGGGCCATCTCTACCACGGGGTGGGGAGCGAGAAGGTAACAGCCAAGTGTTTTAAAAGATAATATTAGTGGTGTTAGTGACAGGATCTTCAGAGAGGTGCCCCCCAGCCTCCCATTTGCAGGAGGGAATGCAGATGGCCACAATCATTATGAAGGAAAGACATACAAAGTGATTCACAATCTTCATGAAGAATGATTCACAACCATCCATTCACAACCATCACGAAGGCCACAATCATCATGAAGGCAAGACACTACAAAGTGATTCACAATCATGAAGGATGATTCACAATCATCCATTCACAATCATCATGAAGGCCACAATCATCATGAAGTCCATGGTATCTTCACGGAAAGACACTACAAAGTGATTCAAGGAGGCAGAACTTGGTTGGAAAGTATCTTCTAGATCAATGCAACTGGTACATTTGGCTTTCTGACTTCCAACTTAATTTCTGAGCAATTAAAAACTGCAATGGAGATCAGGAGCACATTTCCCAAGATTTAAGCCATTTGACTGCTCTATAAAAAAATAAATGTGGTTAATTCATGGTCCATGACCCATCACTACATGGTGATTTTTTTCTTACAAGAGCTTCAGCCCAGACCCTGATCTAGGTGTCTCAATCTGGAAGATGCCTTTTCCATGTTGGTTAGGTTATTTTTCCTCTAATTGCAATTTTACAATCTTTTCTCCAGTTAAAAGTTGTTTGCTAAGCTCTCAGTCCGGCTGATCACACAAAGCCATACAAATAACGGTCAGGTTAAGATTTTTTCCACCCATTTCCATTCCCTTGGCAAGGGCAGTTCCACCCTGTTTCTCCTGAAAAAGCCATTCCTTATTGATGGAGCTGAAGTAATTTAATGAAGGAAGAATTGGAGCATGTGTAGGGGAGACCGACTAGGAGGATGAGGGGCCTGGAAGGAAAACTTATGAGGAACACTTGGAGATGTTGGGCTTGAGTATATTTGGCCTGGAGAAGACTGTAAGGAGTTACGATTGTTGTCTTCAAGTATCTGAAGGGATGTCATGCAGAAGATGGAGCAGAACTGTTTGGCGTTGTTCCAGAAGACTGGGAAAGTGACAAGGGGACTGAATTACAAGGAAGTAGACTTTGGTTGGACATCAGGAAGACATTTCTAAGGATACGAGCTGTTCAACAATGGCAGTGCCTGCCTCAAGAGGTGGTGGTCTCTCTTTGCCTGAGATGTTTCAATGGAGGGTGGATGGCCATCCCTCAGTGATGGTGTAGTGGTGAATTTCTGCTCTGGGCAGGGGGTTGGACTGGATGATCTCCTAGGTCCCTTCCAACCTGGCCTTCCATGATTCTCTAAGAACCCTGTATGGTGACATGAGAGCTATCATCACGTATCTAACAAAGTGTCACGAGGAATTGTTCAGCATTGTTTCAGGGCAAGAAACAATGGCTTTACATTTTATTGATTTATCATAGGAAAACAGGTAACGTAACAAGGCGCCGAGAAATCTGAGGTCAAAATCATGCTCTGAGATTGTTTTAACATGTTTGCAAAATGTAAGCAGGCTTGGAGCCATCCATACTTGCAGGAGGAGGTGTTCCAAACAATGGAGGCCACCACTGAGAAACCCAATATAAAGGAAGGAAGAACTTTGAGAAATGGTTGGAGGCGGTGGGTATGTTGATCCTGGAGATGACTGTGGGAAGACCTGATTGCTGATTCAAGTATGTGAAGGGCTGTTATACAGACCAAGTTTTTTTTTTCAAACGGCGTTCTGTGCAACTGCAGAGCTCCATGAGAACTTGATAGGGTTCCTTGTGAAATTAAGGGGGAAAAAAATTCACTCGAATGGAACCAATTTTCGATCACTACTATATAGCTTTGTCTCTTGATCAGAGATTCCAGAATTACTATACTTTGAACAGGATGTGATCTGAAAACCCTGATGCAGAAAACAGGTCAAGAAACAGAAAAAGAAAGTTATCCAGGCTTTGCCATCTGCATAACTGTGGCTGAGGATTATGGGAGCTGAAGTCCATGCATTTGGAAGGTGTGCATGGGAAAGCTGTTTGCGGCTACTCGCTAAATTCAGGCGGGACAGAGATCCATAAATAGGACCTAGAAAGAGACTCTAGAAAGCAGCAGCGTCAATTATTTCTCCCGACACCTGGCAGGACAGAGAGATGAAGTCAACCCAGCGTGGGTAATAACCACATTCCCTTTTTTATTTGATTTGATATATTCCCAGCCTTTCTGCTGTGGTGAGCAACTCCCAGTACTCTTAGCTGGCACGGCCAAGTAGGAATTCTGGAAACCAGCATCTAAAAGCACCCGTGGGGCACCACATT